GTTCAGACGGACCTTCCTATGCTTCAATTTGTGCCCATTGCCCCTTGTCCTGTCACTGGGCACCACTGAAAAGAGCTTGGCCCCATTCTCCTGACACCCACCCTTCAGATATTTATAAGCATTTATAAGGTTTAGTAGAACACCCTACTTGAGCCGCCTTTTCTCCAGGCTGAACAAATCAAGCTCCTTTATGCCTCTTCTGTCATGTCATGTGCTCCAGGCTCTTAACCATCATGGGCAGATCTCCACTAAACTTGCTTGAGGTTATCAATTCACTTTGGTTTGATAAATAAATAAATTTGATAACCCAACCTAATGGATTTCCACTCCAGCTGAGTTAATTGTGTCCCTGCTTAGTACTTAATGCTTGATATTTGTCTTTTAATGAAACCTAGCAAGAGTATTAAAAACCAGAATAAGACAATGAATTAGCTTACTGATGGCCGGTGACAAACTGCTCTTTTGCCCCTTGATAGAATATGGACTGTGATATAGGAACTTCAGTGAGAACCAACCACAGTCTTGTTTTCTACCACCTGTATTTTCAGCCAGGATATTTTATCCATGTAGTTCCATACATCTGTGCAGTATCCTCTTTCCAACTTCTACACCAAACAAAGCAACTGTGTAATTTCTGCTGCCTTACCTCAGAACTTCAGTAAAGACCAGAACAGACATGTCTGGATTTATGGAAAATACATTGTGTAATAGTGTTGAAACTGAGTGGGGGGGGAAATGGAAGAAAAGACAGAGCTCTGTTTGAAAGAACATACTACACACTGATGAAAGGATCCTTGTTATACTACAGTTTAAAGAATAAGGTTATATTTAGAGGAAAAGATATTTTCACGTTGACTTGTTTAGCACAGAACTAATTAGCTTTGCTGGTCTTAATGGATAAAGTTAGTAGGTTTTTTGCTGGTTATGTGTTCACAGCTACAAACAGTTTTTGCCTAAATGTGTGCGAGCAAAAATCCAAGAATACCACATCTTGACACGAAAAAGAATAAGGTACAGGTTCCGCAAATTTATACAACAGTTTGGCCAATGCAAAGCTACTGCCAGAAATTTGAAACTAAAGTATCTTATAAATCTGGAAACCCTTCAGTCTGCCTTCTATTCAGAGGTTTTTGAAGTAAAAGAACCTGGTGGAGATCCTACTGGAGAGGAAAGTTTTGCAACCATTGTAATAACTGGAAATGGTGGAATTCAGTGCTCAAGAGGAAAACTTAAAGACTGTGAGACACTGGCAGACCAGGTAATTTCTTTTATTATTTTAATAATTGTGTAGTTTATAATGTGAGAGAGTGATTACCTTATGTTAGAAGTTCTGATTTACCCAAGGTAAATTTGGTACGTAAATTTTACTTCACAGTGATGAGAGGCTCATGGAAATGTATTGACTTAAACAGTGCAGGATTTTAAAATTAGTTTTTTACTGAGGTATTAGAAGACAGTGAATACTTGACATGTAATACTTCTGTGCTTGACAAATGAAAAATTCAGTGTTGGACCTTCGTTACTGTAAAAAAATCAATGTGGAACAATAGCAACCCTACATCCAGGTATAGGTAAAATGCACAAATCCTCAAATTCTCTTTGAAAGCAGGGTTTTAAGGACTCCAAAACCCAGGTAAATTGAGCTATACCTCTTTCCTGTTACAGTCAGACTCCTACCAGTGTCTGAGCTAGCAAATTTGAAGTGACATTTCTGTGACTGCAGAGTCCATATACTTTCTGTTCAGGAATTAGATGCTAAATGGTTCAAATAAGTGCTAGTAATCATGTGCTGTTGCATTTTTACTTATTAGTATTATTTCTTTTATGTGTGATTTCCCAGCATGACTATTCATTTTGTCAAATTTACCAGAATCTGAAACAAACTCATAGCAGTATACCATGAGAGTGTGGGAATATTCCAGAGGTAAAATTAAAGGCAAAGTGTAACACATGTCGCTTTTCCAAAATAATTGCATCTATTAGTTTGGTAGTTTTGATGCATAACATGTAGCAGTCAAGACCAAACTACAAAAGGTTTTATTTTTACAGTATGCTATAATAATTTGTAAAAATGATATTTTTTGGTAATACTTAACAAAAAAAAAATCTGATTACGTACCTAGATTTTTTAAGTGTAGTGTTCTTAGAATATTTGTGGATTGACATTAGGACCAGTTGCCTCATTCGTAGTTAAGTGTCAGCCCTCTGCCTTTCTTAAGTTGCCTGTAAGTGCAGTTGCTCTGGCAGCAGCAAATAGAAATGTTAGATTTTGCAATTTCTAGTTTTAGGTGTACAAAATTTACGCATACTATGCTGTTTGGGCCTGATAACCAAGCCTTTAGTAAGAGTATTGTTTAAACTGATCATATTTCCTATAGAGATTGCCAAATTATTTTTCCATAATTAAGAATATTACCATCCCACTTATTGACCAAGACATGGTGTAGAGTGCACATGTTTTCACTGGTACAGAAACTGTTTATGAAATCGGTTATGGAATCTTAGTAAATGAGTAAGGCTGCTTGTAAGTGCAACCGTAACTCCTGTTTCAGCAAATTACGCTGATGAATCTTTATTAAGATACTGAATTGAAACAAATTTTTTTTTGAAGGCAGGAATGACATATGTGGGGTAGATTGTGAAGAAATTTTGCCAGTTCACATTTCCAGCAACCAGATGAACAAATAGAGCTTCAAATGCTCTGAAGTCCCTGAGCTGATTTATTCTGGCTGATACCCACTGAGTCTTACAGCCTTGATTATTACACCTGTTTATGTATTAGGATGTGCTTGCAGCCATATGAATGGAGCATTCTGACTTGAATAAAATCTGTTTGCTCTAGGAGAATAATTTTAGATAGATAAATCTACCTTTATCTAAGGATGTTACTTAGCACCTGAAGCTCTACTGAAAACAAAACTAAGTATATAGTATGAAAAACATGACATTGTAATTTGATTTGTGATAGACTGAAGGAAGTGGTACAGAATATCATATGGTCAAAAACTACCTGCATTTGCTATCAAAGGAGAATGTGTCTTGGATTTCCCATGTAATTAGGATTGGTACTTGAAGTTACCTAGTCAGTTATGACCCTGGCTGATGGGAGAACTTTCTGTTAGACCCTTTCTTCATTCATATTACATCTGTCTCTTCAGTAGCCGATTTTGCAGTTTTTATCACTCTGAACGAAGTTGTGACATTTTGGATTGTCAGCAGGCTTTCTAAACCTCTTTAATCAGGATGCTCAAAAAAACCCCAAACCCAGAATTTATCAAAATACTCTGTTATTAATCCTCACAAAATATTACAGAGCAAAGAAGTATCTACAATAAAGAAAAATAACCCTTATATGGATATTTCCATTCACGGTTCCTGGATCTTTGTGTGTTTTTTAATTGATGCTCCTAGTGATGGTCCCATAAACATGAAATCCCTTTGTTTATTTGTAGTGGCATATTTAAGATGTTATGATACTCTGTGTTGCTAGCTTACAAGTTCAGAGTTGTGTGAATTCTAGTGCTGCAAATGGGGAGGTTTTATTGGTTGCTATTTGTTATTACTGAACATTATATAACCAATATTTATTGCAGGATTTACAAACATACTGTGATTTTCCCGATATAATTGATGTCAGCATTAAACAAGCAAGCCAAGAAGGCTCCAGTGAGAGAAGAATTGTCACCATTCACAAACAAGACAGCAAGAATCTGGTCTGTTTACTTTGCTTGCTGTTCTTTGAAATAGATGTTGCTTTGAGGAGACAGTCTGATTGCTGTGGTGTTGGTGGTATTGTATAACCAATTACCAAGTTAATTAAGCATGAGGTAAAACTAAATGCATTTCAACAGTATAAGTGGTGTAGCGGAACACCAAAGGTGTGCATTCAAAGCTTTGTGCATGGACTGAAATACAAATAGATGTTTATAGCTGAGCATGATTTCTGATATACAGTTTGGTTCTGTTCTTTGTTGGAGCCTAAAACCTGAGTCTGTGGTTGTAGCTATCAAGCATACTGTTTCCATACTGTCATGGTAAGCTGTCTGCCAGTGACCAACACATTGAAAAAGGCTTCAAAATGCTCTGAAGGGATGATGATGATACACAGAAAATGAGTATTGGGATAAAGTTAATGTTGTTACTTTTACTGTTTAAAATTCTTGGAAGAAGATCTTAAGAAAGCATTTTATAAATTAATATAAGCAGTTGTTTCAGTTTGAACTCCAGCATTGCACTTGAGTCAGGCTTTCCCACAGGTGTAACTGTTACATAGTTGTGGTGGGTTGACCTTGGGTGGACTCTCACTCCCCTTCCTCAACTGGACAGGGAGAGAAAAATATGACAAAAGGCTCATGGGTCAAGATAAGGACAGGGAGAGGTCACTCACTGACTAGTCATGGGCAAAACAGACTTGACTCGGGGAGATTAATTTATTACCAATTAAATCAGTGTAGCGTAATGAGAATTAAAACCAAATCTTAAGAACGCCTTCCTCCCACCCCTCCCTTCTTCCCTGGCTGAGCTTCACTGCTGATTTGCTCCACCTCCTCCCCTCCAGCAGCTCACAGGGACAGGGGATGGGGGTTGTGGTCAGCTCATCACACATTGTCTCTGCCGTTCCTTCCTCTTCAGGGGGAGGACTCCTCACACTCTTGTTCTGCTCCAGCATGGGGTCCCTCCCACAAGAGACAGTTCTCCACAACCTTCTTCAACATGAATCCTTCCCATGGGCTGCAGTTCTTCATGCACTGCTCCAGCGTGGGGTCCCTCCCGTGAGGTGCCATCCTTCAGGAACAGGCTGCTCCAGCGTGGGTCCCCCATGGGCTCATAAGCCCTGCCAGCAAACCTGCTCCGGTGTGGACTTCTCTCTCCACAGGTCCTGCCAGGAGCCTGCTCCAGCGCGGGATCTCCATGGGTTCACAGCCTCCTTTGAGCATCCATGTGCTCTGGTGTGGGGTCTTCCATGGGCTACAGGTGGAGATCTGCTCCACCGTGGACCTCCATGGGCTGCAGGGGGGACAGCCTGCCTCACCATGCTCTTCTCCAGGGGCTGCAGGGGAATCTCTGCTCGGGGGCCTGGAGCACCTCCTCCCCCTCCTTCTTCACTGACCTTGTTGTCTGCACAGTTGTTTCTCAGGCGCTACCACTGTTTCTGATGGGCTCGGCCTTGGTCAGCAGTGGGTCTGTCTTGGAGCCGGCTGGCACTGGCTTTATCAGACATGGGGGAAGCTTCTGGCAGCTTCTCACAGAAGCCACCCCTATAGCCCCCCCCAGCTACCAAAACCTTGCCACGCAAACCCAATACAAGTTGTTTCTTCCTTTATCTCTGTGACTGAGCTGTGGGCCTTCAGGGCTCTCCATCTCAGGCATTTTGTGTGACCAGAGTGTGTGTGTATGAAAAATCTGTGTACAGCTTATTATCTCTTTCCTATAAAAATAATTTTTTAAAATTCCCAAAATATTTCAATAAGATTTAACTAGTTTTACTGTCTCTCTAATGGTGTTTTTTTAGAAACAGCTTATGGTTTACCTTCATTTATAGTAGAATTGTGATTCACATTCATTTCATGCATTAATGGCGCAGAATTAATGACCTGTTAAGAAGCTGAATTTTTTTCAAGGCATTTTATTGAAATGTAAGAGTAGCTGGAATATCTGTGACCTGTATCTGTGATACTGAGAGCATAACAATATTTCAGAATGGTGTAGGAGTGTTGCTTAATATTGAGCCATTAAAATTTTCTTTAAAAAATGTCAACAGCAGTAGTTAGGTACTTGACTGCAATGCTTGCAAGGGTAAAAGTGATTTTCTAAGAGGTGGTCTAAAAAAGCTACTGAAGAGTAAGGCAGAGTAGGAAAAAATGCAATAGCTGCTGTTTTGCTTATGATTTGTGTGTGGACACTTTACACAGCAGAATTAGCTCATGTGTGAATTAGAATTTGTGATTTAGTTTGATCTGTTACACAGCTAGTAGAATTCAGTATAGAAATGTAGTTTACACAGTTTTAGGATACATGGATTGATTAAAATGGCTGGATTTCTAGGTCTGTTCCTTGTGTGAGTTTTCCAATCATGTTGAAACACCTGGAAAGATAGTTGTTTCCAGGTCCTCTTTTAATAAGGTGTTTGAAGACTCCAAACAAATTCTTGGCACGTGGTCAAAAGCACCAGCATTGTTATTGCTGTCTAGCAAAGAACTTGCCAGGGAATTGTGTTCAGCCACTGTGTCCCCAGTGTCATGGGCAAACTTGTGCAGCGTGTACTAAAAGGCTGTTCTTTTGGGCTGCACTGCTGAATGAAATATAGTGTCACTCTGTAGATGATAGAGTAACACTTCTCTGTTCAAGTAAAGACGGCCTTTAATGCTTTAATACAACTGTCAAAATACTAAGAAAATACATTAAAATTACGTACGTAATTACATAAAAGTAGACTCTATTTTCCATTATTGACAGTAATAATTATGTTACTACAGATGAATGTAATTTTGCCCTGCTCTTACCTGTCCAATGTATTCTGCATCGACCTTTTCCATGTCCTGTTTTCCTTTGACCACATTATTCTTCTCCCTTCTTTCATCCATTGCACCTCTCATCACAGTAGTGAAGGGTCGGCTTGTACGTATGATGCAGCTCAGGATGCCAGTTTTTGCTGACTACTAGTTACGTTTTCAGGCAGGTACTTTTCTGGAGATTTTTCTTTGCTACTTGAAGGCAGCCCCATAAATCTTTGATAAGCAAAGGCTTTCCTTGAGGAAAAAAAATAACACTGTGATGCCAGTGCAGTAGGTATCTGGCATACTGAGTTGTATCTACTCAGTTTTTCCCTTTCAGATGTTCCATCTTGTAAGCATTCCTCTGCTGTTGCATGTATTTGGAGTAAATGGGTTTTCGTGGCAGATTGGCTTGGGTTCAGTTTTGAACATTGAAGATTGCTAACAGGTTTTGGGTGACAGCATGAAGGTAGAACTATACAAGCAGTAGTTAGAAACCGTGTGGATAGCTTTGATGTATGCATGTGTTTATATCTTTTATACCATTACCGTATCCAGGAATTTTGTCTTGCGTATTAAAAATTAAATTTCTCATTCCCTCTCTCTCTTTGCCCCTCCTCCCATTCTCCCCTGACAATTTAACAGGAGGCTGAATTTCAGTCGTTAAGAGAAGCTCTCTCCTTTGTATCATTAATTGATGGATACTACAGATTAACTGCAGATGCCCACCATTATCTCTGTAAAGAAGTAGCACCACCGTCAGTCCTTGAAAATATCCAAAGCAACTGCCATGGACCAATTTTGTAAGCAAATTTTTTATGAATATATCAAGATGATGCTATTTTTGAAAGATGAACTCTGGTTGACTGTGAACCTTGATGGACATCTTGCAATGTGTATTTATTACAATTATGTGATATACAATGCTTTATGTTTTTCCTCTTATTTCTTACTTTGCAAAATACAATGTCTTCTTGATGTGTTATAAAAAATAAATGGAAGTATTCTGGTTTTAATTTTCTTCCCTTAGAATTCTTCTTTTCTTCAAGTGAGACAGGCAGCAAAGTCATGATGCTGATTTTACAGAATTATAGTTACTACCATGGCAGCAGCATACAGTGTCATAGACAGAGGGTCTCATGTTTTCTCTGCAGCCTCTAGCAGTTGTATTATCTGAGTGCCAAGGGGAAAAAAGACAAATTCAAATAACATTCTCTTCAACATTTGAGCAAGGACTGCAGTAAACTGCCATATAAATTGGAGGTTTTGATGGTTTTTAAGGAATGTTGTCTCCTTTTTTGTTTTCTTTGTTGTTTAGTTGTTGGATTTTTTTAGAGGGAGAATTTAGTACCGTCATTTCAAATTTTTTTAATACTTCATATACTATTGTTTATTGTTTGCAGAAGTGCACATGGGAGCTTAGAAGTGTTTTGTTAGGCAGAATAAAATGAGTATTTGCTTTAGCTACAGAAAGCTTGAAAGCTGATACATGCAAGATGTGTTGCATGAAACTAGCACTGTCTACTCAGCTAATACAGAATAGTTCTGTAAATTTCCAAATTACAGAAAGAGGGTAGGTACTGTAACCTTCAGAAGAGATGAACAGGAGAGGGATGGAGATCTATACAGTTCTGACAACATTTCTTGCACTATAATGACTAAAGCTGTATGTTGACCTTTATTTAGGGCTGTTTAGTGGGATGTGCAACGAGCCTAGACCTTTCCAATCTATTCTAATCTTCATTCCGTAGATGGATAGAAGTAGTCAATTAGCAAGGCTTGTTCAAGGGGAAATTGGTTCATGTAGTGATGATGTTTTATTTCAGCTTCACTTTCTTATTAGCCCTTTCCCAAGTTAAAGCCAGCTTTTTCGCCCACACAAATATTTTCCTAAGTTTATCTTGTTTATTAGGCAGTTTTATTACATCTTCCATAATGGATGTTGAAAATCATAAGCCTCGGGGAATACACTTTTTTAGACTGCACAGTTTCTCATCAAATAAATAATTGTGGTGTTCTCATTATTAAGAGTATCTAATATACTGCTCTCTGTGTAAGCAGCCACCCTGAATATTGGAAAATAAAGGGACAAAAAAGATTAACTTAAAATGAATCTGTTAAAAATTGAGAGTTTACATTGTCATTGCATTAGATATCTTCTAATAGTGCTCACTGGCCAATCTCTGATGTTCCTGGATTTTGAAATTATGCAATATTAAACATTTTCTTTTTACTATAGCATGGACTTTGCTATCAGTAAACTGAAGAAAGCGGGTAATCAGACTGGTTTCTACGTTCTTCGCTGCAGTCCTAAAGATTTTAAAAAATACTTCCTCACCTTTGCTATAGAGGTTTGTATTCTGGCCTAGGTAGTACCTGTATAATCTTTATTGTGTTATAATAATGAGCCTGGATGTTTAGAATCATTAATGACACATACCACATGCCAAGGAGAAGGTGGAAGGAAGAGAGCTTGAGAGTTCTGAGAATGGTGACATGGCTCATGGGACTGTAGTAAATGTTTGGATGGTGGAGCAGCGTGGGATTTTTTTTTTTTTTTTGCTCCTCACCACCACAATAGGGCTTAGTTAGACTGAGCGTACAGCCCTTGGTGATCTGAGAGTCTCTGTCCTTCACAGGTTCTGCTGGGTTTGGGTCCTGTCCCCATCCCCAGTGCTGGGCCAGCCAGATTATTTGGCAGCTGTTGTGTCAACACAGATCTCCTGCTGAGTATCTGATGTTAGCTAGAGTGGGAGCCAACCTTGAAATGCCTGCAGTTCTCATGCACCTAAAGAACCAGGTGTGCCTCCTCTCTGTGAGATTGCAGTTAGTGATAATACAGTTACATGATTGCATGATCTTGTGCCAAAGTTGGGCTTCTGGTTAAATTAACAGAGCCACCTTTGGGTAATGCATGGGTTGGTTTGCAATGAGTGAGCAAGTTCACTGAATACTGTCAGAGATATGTACATCTCTGAAAGTGACAAAATGATGTATGGATGGAGAAGTAAACAGCCATTTTAAGACCAGTTTCACAAAAAATTTTATGTCCAGTCAGTGAAGTGTGTTTGGTAGGGAGTTTTGTACACTAAGAGATCAGTCCTTGAGCAAGTTTAGAGAGTTGAAGTCTGAAAGTCAAGCTTTGAGTTAAGCCTGCCATTAACTGACCTAGCCACATTTATTTTCCCTGTTCTAATTCTCTCTGGGCAAGCCATCAGAAAGGCTTTTGAGATTCAGAATTTGTTGGAACATTTTCTGCAGTGTTGACGTGAAGGACCATGAAAGCACTGTTAAGAGCTCCTCTTGTTTAAAAATGTTTAATGGGATCTTTTCAAGACTCATTGTAAAAATAATTCAATGCATATTGAAAATCTGTGCTGAGAACTAATTGCTTAGAACTGTACTGTAGACTACAGAAAAAGAGAAATACAGCTGAGATCTCCAAATGCTTGCCAAAAGAATGGGGAGCGTGAGTGTTTGGGCTATTGCTTCCAACAAAATTTTGTTTTGACATTACCCCATGTAAGGGTGAAGAAGCTTTCATTACTAACTCTAAAGGATTTTTCCTAGGATTTGTTATTTGTCTTCTCAGCTCCATCTTTGCAGATTTCATAACATTTGTTTTTCTTAGCATCAACACACTAGTTCCGGTGATGGGAGTAGAATCCTGTTTTCTCAGAACTAATATTACATAGAACAAAAGAATGGGTTATGGTAGTATTTTGCTGAAGCATTCTTTCTTTAATTAGTAGAGTGCTTTACATTTAAGTAAACTTTAAATAGTAAATAACGATCAATTTTATTTTAATGGAAAAAATCTCTGCAGCGTGAGAATACCACTGATTATAAGCACTGCTTAATTACGAAGAATGAGAATGGAGAATATAATCTCAGTGGAACCAAGAGAAGTTTTGGTAATCTTAAGGATCTGTTGACCTGTTACCAGACAGAAACTGTCCGTTCAGACAGCATAATTTTCCAGTTCATCAAATGCTGTCCTCCAAAACCAAAAGGTAAGAGAAAGATTATTTCTAAGCAGAAGGTTTTCCAACTTTTGGGTTAAAGATTTAAAAATAAGTTAATATTAAGTGACTCTCAGGTAGGTAGGTATATATGTTTGTGGGTTTTTTGTTTTTTAAATTTCACTGACCTATTTGTTCATTCTCTTAGTCATAATTTTTAGTCCTAGTGTCTGCCAAATTTTATTTTGTTATAAGATGGTCTTCCAGAAAGAATCATGGTAGCCAGTTTCATGATTAGAAGCAAAACTGGTTTCTTAATTGCAGTGGATTGTGTGCAGCAGCAAGTCTTGAGAGGAAAGAGCTACTAAATGTATGATTTCTCACTTGAGGGTGGTTCCATAAGCAGTGGAACCAACAAGGCCAGTGAATTTCTTTCATTGTTTGTTGACAGCTGAGTTATGCCAAGGCTTCTTCAGTGTGATTTCAGCTTCTTTTTAACACTGAAAAATACACATGGAATAGAGCTTCTTTATGAATTCTGATGTCTGCCCTTTCTGCTTACTATAAGTATTTACTGCTTACAGTTAATGTTAGTTAGTCTTCATCTCTATCCAAGTCCCTATTTAAACAAAAACTTGAGAGAACAGACTATTTGGTGTCCATTTTACCTCACCCAAATTTGATTGAAATTAGCCAATGGACTCAAAAACTTAGAAAGATTTCACAAGTAAGTGCATCTGTACATTACAGAGAAATTTTGTAACATTATTGCCGTCAAACAAAAATTATATACATCAGAACTATAAATTACTGAATAAATAGAGTCACGCATGCATGCACGCATATACCCAGAAATATCTACCTATCAGCTTTAGTTTTACTAACAGACCTGCTCTACTTTGTGGAGAGCATTTTTTCAAAAGCACTCAAGGAATAATTACTCTGGTAAACATAAGGTAGTGAGGATCACTGAAGTGCTTTGGAGAGGCATCAGGAAAGTAAGCACGTCTTTAACAGAATGACTTGGTAATATAAAAGAAGGTGGTGACTTACACCCTCGTTTTCCGTTCCTGATTGTTATTACAAATACAGCAGAAGTTAAAATGTGAAAGGAAGAAGGAATATCTTCAGAATGGTTGTCAAAAGTAGGAGTACTTAAGAAACTTAAAATAGCTGTGTGTACATAAATTATTTTACTGATGGGTGAAAATCAGACTTTGAATTTGGTTAATGAAATACTGTGTGGCTTTTTGAATAAACTGAGCTCAACGTGATATCTTTTTCTTACTGAATTACCAGCTTCTCATTAATAATCATTCTGAAATAATACTGGTTTATTTTTATATTTTCTGAGTTTACTTTGTTTTTCTTTTCCCCACTCTTTTTGTTCTCCCAGATAAATCAAATCTCCTAGTCTTCAGAAGCAATAGTGTTTCTGACGTACCTTCATCCCCTACGCTACAGAGACACAATAATGTCAACCAGATGGTCTTTCACAAAATCCGGAATGAGGACTTGATATTTGTAAGTCTACTAGATGCTTCTTCCACTACAGATGATTGGTTTAATACACACTTGAGTTTTCTAAAACTCAAAAGAGCCTGATCTGAGCTAGGAGGTTTTACTGTAATGTTTCCATAGTTGAAGTTGTGAGAAAAAAGAATTTTTTAAAACATTTCCATTAATAGAAACAGATTTTTTTTCAAGTAAGAAGTGTCCTTTTGACTGCAATAGCAGTAGTTTTCTTCTAGGGATGTCTAAATACATCTTGATAACAGCCATTTCTTCCTCTCTGGTTCGTGCAGCAAGTTCTTTTCTGAGATTCTTGAGGACTCAATAAAAAACAAGCATAGATTTAACCTGTTTCTGATACAGTTGCTTCCTTGTTCCCTAAATCTGACTCTAGAGGTGTGCTAGCTGTAGAGTTTGCATATGCATTACTTAAGGTTATTAAGAGATCTTTTGCAAAACAGGCAGAGATTTCTGATTTTTTCCCAAATGTGTCCTTCCTGTCTTTTAGGAGGAAAGTCTTGGACAGGGCACATTCACTAAGATATTCAAAGGTGTAAGAAAAGAAGTGGGAGACTATGGCCAGCTCCACCAAACCGAAGTTCTTTTAAAGGTGCTGGATAAAGTGCACAGAAACTACTCTGAGGTTGGTGTGATTGTTGACTGCTGTGTAACGTTTTGTCCATACTATGTTGAGCATTGCTTTTCCTACAATAAATGAGTATTTGTTATATAGTAGAAGGTTGTATGTCGAACCAAGCTCGTTCTTGGCCTCCTGACACTGGGAGGATGGATTTGAGACTGGCTTTGGGAAGTATACCTGTGTATTTTGTTTCCCCTCTCCCCAACATCCATCAGAGCTACCCACTGACAGCCAGAGGGTTTCTTTGTACAAGTACCACAGAAGAGGTGTTATGGCCACAGAATTACCAGTTCATTATGTACAATGAGGGACCAATATTTACAGAAAATTACTTTCGGTAGACTATTTTCAATGTTTTGGAGTTATACTGATTCTCCAGTAAAATTAGCATTTCACATCAAGCCATAAAAAAATTAAAAGTATACGTGTATGAGAAACTCTTGCCATATGTAGAATCATTTGTATTCACTTAGACTTTTCAGTGTTTGAGTGAAGCTGTGAGCAAACCTGAAATGCCTTTGTGCAAAAATTAATACACTGGTAATGTAATTGAGCCCAAGACTGTGTATGTGAGAACTTAATTGTAAAGACTTAGACAGGATGTGGTACTGTTTAATATATTAATGCAACTTTATATGGCTGTTTATTTTGATTATATAATTGTATCAAATTCCTAATTAATCTAGCTGTATTTACAGCAAGCCAAAAGAACCAACCCATTGTTTACTGAACTTTTCAATTACTTAAGAAAAATCTGTATCAAAATGTAAACGAAGAGGAAAAGACATTTTGGGTAGCTGATATTCATAAACAATGTAGGCATACACTTTAGACAACTGAAAACAACAAAGAAACTATAACCCTTATTTTAATTTCAATAAGCTGGGTAATATACTTACATTCTAAAGTTAAGTGAAAATCGGTTGTTAAAATGACGAAGAGTACAGAAATACAAATATAGTCACCTGAAGGAAAATGTGCTAATTTTGACCTTGTTTTGTTGGGTGAATAATCAGTACACAAGCAAATGTAGTTGAAGATGCCACTGAAGAGAATTTTTAAAATGGCTAAAGAAAGAAAAACATCTGAAACCTTCCTGACAAGGTTAGGTAAGGTCTCGCAGTAGTGCATGAGTGATATGCTGCTACTTGTCTTTTAACTTAATAGTGTGCTATGAAGACATAAATTGGAAACTGAATAGTACTTTGTGAAAGAATAAATTGGCAACTGAATAGTGTGTCATGAATTTGTCTGCTGTTTACTTAGTTAACTGACATGGAAGAAGAGATTCTTTTTAAAATGTGGAGATACACCTGTCTGCAGAAAAAAGAGATTGCTAACCTCTCTGGAATATGGATTATCAGTTATTCAAAAAAAAACCCCAAACTCAAACCTGAAACATCAGACACAATATAAAATATGCTACACAGGCTCTTTGTGATGAGATGGAAGGTGAAATGTTTTAAAAAATGCACATGGTTTTAATACATTTATTAGAAATTATGTAATGTTTGGGGGTTTTGTTTTCACTGGTATTTCTTCTCTCTTCATCTCTCTTTCTCCTTCCTCAAAGTCCTTCTTTGAGGCAGCAAGTATGATGAGCCAGCTTTCTTACAAACATTTGGTGTTAAATTACGGAGTCTGCGTGTGTGGGGAGGAGAGTAAGTAGAAATTAATTATCTTTTTGTACAAACTTTATACAGCTGTCATTAGTTTGCCATTGGTTCTGGGTGAAATCAGGGGAAAAAAACCAAACAAAACAACCTGTCACACCAGCCGTTCACCCAGTACGCGTTACGTTGCAGTAGTATTAGTAGTGGTATCTGAGAACAAGTTAATATGGTGGTAACAAAGAAAATGGAAACATTGTGTAAATACAGTCAGTGTGACTAGTAACCTCTGTAAATGACTCAGTCATGTCTGTTCTGTCTGAAAAAATCTCACTTTTGAAAAGCAATGCTGAAATTCTGAAACAAGCTTTTGAAATGCCAGAAAAAAATTAACCCCTACATAGTATCAACTGTGGTTAGCTAGAAAGGGAAGTGCTTGACTACCCACCCAAGAAAACCTTCATTTGCTGTGATCAGAAACACAGAAGCTGCCAGGCTTTCCCACCCATGTGCTGACTTCATGAGCACAAATACAGCTTTGGTAAGTCTGAGTTAGAGATTACATTCTGAAGACATGAGGTCCCATTGTGACTATTTATTAGTAAGGTTTTCTAAGAACACCTGAAATACATGGTTGTCATATGCTTGTGTGTGCTATCTTCAAACATGTGCTGCTGGGTCTCACTTTGGCAGTTTTTCCTCTTCATTTGGTCTTTGGGCAGAAATGTCAGTTTGCCCTAAAACCATTTTTTTTTTTTTCTGTGATTAGAAATTTCTAACAAAAGGAACCATTTTGTAATAACTGTATAAGCATATTAGGTAGACAGTTGCCTGCATTAAGAGAGAAGGATTTTGCAAAAGGGACGGTGGATTCTGTACCAGAAGTGGCTTCTCTTAGGAGGCTGGAAAAGGCGCAGCACCACATTTGGCCAAGAATTGTTACACCAGTTCTTTGCAAAACCACCCATGAGTGTTTATTCTAGTTTATTCCTTGTACCATGCACGGGGACTATATATAAAATTTCAGGTAGATCATGTGTATAATTAAAAAAAAAATCTAAAGATGTGTATGGTTACTTATTTCTCCTTTAAATCACAGTTACCCTCTATGGCCGGTTCTATTTCTGAATGCAAGAGACTTGTTACAGTTTAGTAAGAGGCAGTTACTAAGAAAAAGGAAGAGGGGTGGTTATTTTTTCTGTGGGTTACACATTTGATATACAGATTTGATGAAAATCACTTTACATAATTGCAAAAAAGAATTTGTTTGCTGTCTGTAAAATGAATTTGTGATAAAAATCAGTTTATTTGCTATAACCAAGTATAATACCAGTAATTTCCAGTGTCTTGGAGTCTAAATGAGAAGCCCTGCAATGTGAGCATCTTGCAGCTTAAGGCAAGTGTCCAGTCGTGCAATTTGAAATTGTTATACCAAAACTGATGAAGACTGCAGTACTATGAAATGGATCTTGTTTCTTGGTTTAGTCACTGGATGACTGCCTGGACACATATGTCAGATATATACACAAATTTTTTTAGTGCAAATATTAGTCTGTTTTCAAGAAGAGCATCTTTTGTCAGCAAAGCATTGTATTTTTCACTATGAATATAGATTGTAAACAACTGTGAAGTCGACTTTAATATTGTTCAACTCACTGCACTGATATTGCTGTATGCTACTGTGCTTTATCAGAAGTTAGTTATTTATTGTGCTTTTCGAGTGAGAGTGGAAGGATACTCGCTAGATTTGTGATGGTGGAAACCTCTTCTGTAAAAAACTATTAAATCTAGTAATTTCGCACCTGAGAAGAAATTAGGTGAACTTCCACACACTGAAGAAGTATAAAGAAGATAAAATATTTGTGGCAATACTCAGATGTCGTATAGCTTAGTTCACCAACAAGGTATCAAACAAAGAGCTGGGTAGTACTAGAGTAAGGAATCTGTCCTAATATTCCATTATTTATTGTTGCGTTTAATTGTTACTCTTTTTACTGTTTTAAATCAGACATCCTTGTACAAGAATATGTAAAATTTGGATCCTTGGACACATATTTGAAAAAGAACAAAAATGTTATCAATATCTTGTGGAAGCTGGAAGTAGCCAAACAGCTGGCATTAGCCATGCATTTTCTGGTAAGTAGTTTATTCCTCAGTTTTGTTAGTGGCTGAATTCAAGTGTTTCAGGATAATATGTATAAAATGGATGAGCTATTTCCCTACTTCTTCAAACTCTGGACGGTATTTCAAAATAGACTGGGCATATGCCAGGTAGTTAGTGGATAGCCAAGGGCAGACGTTTGTATCTTGCACAAAGTGTAAGTGAATTTCCCATCCTTTTTTATTGCTTTATGTTTTAGTGCGAAATAAAAACACAATTCCAGTAAAAATTCTCCATCCCCCCCACCCTGGAATCGGTGCTTCCTGGTTTTCCCACCTCAGGTCATGATGATGAACGTAAACTGTGTCCTGGTAATGCTAGTAGTTAACTGCTGGGAGGGGAAAGCGTTGTACTGTTTAAACTGTTCATTAAGTCCCAGCCTTACAGTCTGTTTAATTCAACATAAAGTCCATTATTCAGACAGGATATGTGATTAGATGAATCTTCCCTTTAACAGAGTTTAAATGTTCTTATGTTCATTTTAAATGGATCATACTGGTGGATCAGTATTCTTCAGCATTAACATGCATCAAAGAACAGCTGATGAAATTTCTGGGATTTGATCAACTTAATTTATGATCATTATCTTCTTTGCTGATGTTTCCCTTATAACTGTAAAGTATTGGTTTTTAGCTACCTCTTCAACCATAGGATTTTTTGTGTCAGTATGTAAAAGATGCATTTCTGTTCATAGGAGGATAAAGGCCTTGTTCATGGGAATGTCTGTGCAAAAAACATCTTGCTTATCAGAGAGGAAGACAGGAAGTCTGGAAACCTTCCGTTTATAAAACTAAGTGATCCTGGCATCAGTATTACAGTTTTGCCAAGAGATAGTAAGTCTATGTGTCAACCTTCTTGCTTAATGCTTCTGACTTGAAAAATAAAGGTTTTTTTCTGACCATCTAAGTTGCTTCTGTTATATTAAGTTCCTTCATCCATCTGTCAATCTAAAATTTGCAGTCATAGTCAGCAGTTTTGAGCCTATCTTCTTTATGAGCAAATAGCTACAGGAAATAAAGCCTCAACAATTCTCAGTTGCGTGAGGGTTTTTTTCTTACTGTTCTCATTTTCAACTTTTTTTTTCCCCGTGGTAGTACGTATGTTGTAATGCACCATGAGTAAGCCTGTTGCATCTGCAGTTGCTGGCTGGACTTAGTATCCTCAGACTGATCAAGATTAAATTGTTGTATTTTATAGCTTGGAGAAGCTTTCACAGTTGAAAGTAAATGCACTTTTGAAAATGCTGTCTGGCATTTGAAAATCATCTTCAGTACATTTCTTGGTGAATACCTGAAGTCACTTGATGATGCTAAAAATACTGGATTATGATCTGCCATTGAGGCTGTTTTAATGCTTTATAAGCAGCAAAATCAATTAAATGAAAAGAAATCATAAGTGTGTGCAAAATTGTTGTGCTAATGAAATTGAAGTTACATTACTATTCTTTATCTAGTCTTTTTAACCATTTTCAAAAAATGAACATACTTTATACGTGGTAATTTTATATATGCCAGAAGAAATAACACATCTAAGAGACTATAAGCAATGCAGTGTCAGTATTTTCCAATAAACTGTTTAAACTCTCCCTTTTTTAAACAAGAAGCCTACATTAATCTTACAAGATCTCATTTTAAGGAGCTCTAAATCTACATCAGTACAATACTGTCTTTTAACTTGTTACTACAATTAGTATCAAAAGTTTAGAAATCCAGTAGTGTGAAATTCCTTGTTATGGAGCTTTTCCCAGTGGCATAATGTGCCAACCGCTATCAAAGTACTTTTTACTCTTTGCCATCTAGTTCTTTGTGGTAGCTACTAATCTTGGTTATATTGGGGGAAATACAGAAGTCGTAACAAAAATATGATGTGGAAATGATGTTACGGCTGTTTTATAACATCACGCTCATTTTACAACAAAACTAATGGTCCTTGACTCTGATTTGTAAATCACAGAACCACAGAATGGTAGGGGTTGGAAGGGACCTCTGTGGGTCATCTAGTCCAACCCCCCTGCCGAAGCAGGGTCACCTACAGCAGGCTGCACAGGACCGCATCCAGGTGGGGCTTGAATATCTCCAGAGAAGGAGACTCCACAACCTCCCTGGGCAGCCTGTTCCAGTGCTCCGTCACCCTCAGAGAGAAGAAGTTCTTCCTCATGTTCAGATGGACCTTCCTGTGCCTCAGTTTGTGCCCATTGCCCCTTGTCCTGTCACTGGGCACCACTGAAAAGAGTTTGGCCCCATCCTCTTGACACCCACCCTTGAGATATTTATAGGCATAAATTAGTCATTTTTACTAAATCAAGTATGTTACAGAATTTCCTGGGTTTTATTACTCAGCATAATGTCTTCTTTGTGTGATTGCACAGTACTTCTTGAGAGGATACCATGGGTTCCTCCTGAATGTATTGAGAATCCCAAACAATTAAGCCTGGCCACAGACAAATGGAGTTTTGGTACTACTTTGTGGGAAATCTGCAGTGGAGGAGACAAACCTCTGAGTGCACTGGATTCTTCAAGAGTAAGTATTATTGGCTCTGCCATCATAATAGTTCCTTGGACATTTGAATTTAAAACATCTGCTGTTGTAACTGTATCAGCATGTGAAGTGGTGATCCATAACCACTGTAGGAAAAGGACAATTTTACTGGTAGATGATGATCAGAAGTCATGATTTGAGGTTTGTTTTACGTTGTTTTGATTTTATGGGGATAAAGTACAGTGTTGCCAGTATTATCTTGTTTGTGTTTCTGTTGCTTTGTTACATCAGTGTGTCGCTTTAAACAAACTATTCCGAACAATGTACATGGATTTTAGTTGGCCTTATTCTAGTAATTGAATATCTTAAATACTGTAAGACTTCATGTGTTGCAGACAATTCCACTATTTTGGCTAAAGCAGAGATGTTAACTTTGTCTCAGCTAGGGTCAGGGGGTGGAGGGTAAACACATTCCATAAAAAAATTGTTTCTTACGTACTTGTTTCTGTAGTTGGAAGCAAAAAGATTATTTCCTTTACTACACTAGACAAAGTTTTGTAGTATTATTTGTATAAGTAGACTGTTACCTTCTCACAAAGCCTGATCTGATTTCTCAGGTGGTGTAATCAGCTCTTACAGTAAGCTCCAAGTTCTACCTAGACCTGGCTAGTAGATGCCTAGGTGTTTCAGAAGTTGTCCTCCTCTCTGTACTATCCACATTCTTTCGTTATACTCATTCTGCTTTTTACAGCTGGAGGGGCTCAGCCAGCTCACAGGTGGATAGAATTTTGTGCTGGACTCATCCAGTTGAAGTTTTATGAAATTACTAGCAAAGGAGACACCATCATTCCCATTATCTTTCTTTATTTTCGAATCTTCCCCAAGTAACTGACAGGGAACTTCTGAACTGATTACTCCAAATTATGCCAGCTTGCTACATTGTCAGCCTTGGCTTTCGGTGTAAATTGGTCAGATATACGTTTGGTGAGATAACAAGTCTAAGTTTAGAGCTGTACTTTTTGTCTGCTCTTGTGAGAATGCTAACGCTTCTGCAAGTCTTTATGGTTGTATATTAAAATAACTTTTATTTATTTAATTCCAGAAACTACAGTTTTATGAAGATAGGCACCAGCTTCCTGCCCCCAACTGGACAGAACTAGCAAACCTTATAAACAACTGTATGGATTATGAGCCAGATTTCAGGCCTTCATTTAGAGCAATTATACGTGACTTGAATAGTTTGTTCACTCCAGGTGAGTCTGTGATACAACAAGAACACACTAGACAAAAAGAATCCTGACTCCTATTCGTTCGTTTTCATATCGTGCCTTCCTTTTTCCGAAATTGACCCACAACCACTCTCCAAAGCAGCCCTGGAAATCTAAGTTCGTAAGGACACTATGTTACTGCTTTTTAGTTAGTTCTGAAAGAGAACACATTAAAAGTTAGCATTATCATTCAAAGCAGTTTCTGATTTGATCAACATCTATGCCAAACATTCTAATCTCTTACCCAGTATGTTATGTTTGTGACTTTCTTGTTTCTCCAACAAAAATAAATAGTGGTTTTTGTTTTTTTACCAAGTAGAAGATGCATCTTGTCACAAGCCCTTGTGAAGTTTACATTTGTGCTCTCTGCAGTAGTGGAGCTGGTGCACAACAGTTGCGAAGTTTGAAGTACAATAGGCCTACAAAAAAGCAAGACTCGCTATGAGTCAAGACAAGTTATTTGGGTTTTTTGTAATACATCTTTGTCTTTGACTGCAAATTACTGTATAGAAGTTAAGGTGGTTGTTAATACTCTACTGAGCTTGGGGTATGCCACGCAAAGGGAGAAGGTGCTATGATTGTAGTAAGTTTCTTCATTCTGTTCACTTCTCTGTGCATCCTGTTCCCTTTCTCTCTTCCCTTCTTCCTCATACCCCTCAGATTATGAACTATTGACAGAAAGTGATATGTTGCCAAATATGAGAATTGGAGCACTTGGATTTTCTGGTGCTTTTGAAGATCGGGACCCAACACAATTTGAAGAAAGACATCTGAAGTTTTTACAGCAACTTGGCAAGGTAGGATGTTTTGAAACTCTCTGATTGCAGGAAAGAACTATGTTTTTCAGTTATCTTCCCATGATCCCATATATGTTACTTACATAAAAACTGCTGTTACAGGAACTAATAATTTCGGTCATGTCTGACCACAACATGCAGTTTCTTTTTAGATCCTTTTTCGGTTTCACAATATCATTAGAAGAAAGGTAGCTGACCTCTACAGTGAATCCAGTGACACCGAAAGGCTAACATCTTTTTCAGTAATGCAGAGCTGCATTTGACATAATCTTTTTTTTGTTTTTAATACTTGGTATTCATTTTAAAATGCTTCAGAGCAGTCTTGCATAGAACGGAGGGGGGGCGGGTTTGTGCATGCGTATTCTGAGAAGTCTGAATATGCAGTCCCTAAATTCAGTAACATCTTTGAGATATATATAGACCTTGAACTTTTTAGGCTTCAGAAATAAGCATTTGGTTACTAGTTTTATAGTCATTGCAGCCTGGCTGTGTGAAAGCGTGCCTAGACAAAAGACCAAGTGCGGGTGGCAGATCTTCACCCAAGTACCATTTTTCAATGGTTCCTTGCTATTTTATGTTTTTTGTTGATATCATAGCTGTATATTCCTTTGACTCCCAAGTACGAGTGAAAGCAAGCCTGCAAGCAAAGAGGCAGAGCTAATTCTATTTGCAGATGGTTGTTTGTTAACTAGAAATGGTAGCATAGCATAGGGAGAGGAACAGAGTGGTAGGTGATGACTGCATGAAGGAAGATAAAGAAAATATAAACAGAGAAAGGGAAGAAGGTAGAACATTGAAACAAATGGGGGAAGAACCACCAAGAAGCCAAGGAGAATGAAGAGCCAAGAGGAACCTAAATGGGGAGTTTTTTGCAAGTGCAGGACAAGGAGTATCTCAACCGACTTGTCTGGAAGTGCAAGTGGAAGTTTGTGAAGACGGGGGAGAAAATGAATGGACATCACCCCCTCTCCTTGTCCTCCTTTACTCCCGTACTGTTTGCTTCCTTATAGAACTGTTAATGGTGATCCTGCACTTGTTTTCTCTCGGGGAGGTTTTGTGGCATTTCACTTAATTAATTCTGGTCACGTTATTGCTAATACGGTGAGCACTGAAGCAGTATGAACAAGCACTAAAAAAGGGACAATGGTGTGGACTTGTTTTTAATTCAAGTATTTCCATTTGTGATCTAGGGAAATTTTGGCAGTGTTGAGATGTGCCGGTATGACCCCCTGCAGGATAATACTGGGGAAGTGGTGGCTGTGAAAAAGCTTCAACATAGCACAGAAGAGCACCTTAGGGACTTTGAAAGAGAAATTGAAATACTTAAATCTCTGCAGCACGATAACATCGTTAAATACAAAGGAGTATGCTACAGTGCAGGTATGTGCTATATTGAGTACACCTTCAGGTGTACATCTAAGTATGCATACTGAGAAGTTCAGAGAGGTAAGTGTTTATGAAAGTCACTGACTTAGTCCTAACTTTACCAGAACTTGGAGAGTACAAACGAAAGGAAGTTGTCTGTCTTATACCACTTCTCAGTACAAAGTGGACACTTTATTCAGTCAGCTCATAGTGTAAGTTGATGGATTTTGAGAAAGTACCCTTTTGACTAGTTACCCAGTTTCTCTATCTTCAAGCACAAAAGTCTTCCTAGAAAATAATTTAGGGTTAAGTAGGAAAATGCAGCTGCTTTGTAACTGTTGTTTTTTGCTCAGTGTGATGTCCCAGAGTGGATATTACCAATTCTTGTGCAGTCTATACGGTAAAAGACTAGACAGGAAAAAGTTTCCAAAACGGATGTGTTTGAGTGAATTATTGATGCTGTTAAAGTTGATGAGTGAAAGCATGGGTTCTGCCCAGGATCTTGCTGTAAAAAGAAGAATATTGGATTCAAAATGAGACTAAGTTTTTGAAGATGGTACAATTACTGACCAGTTGATATCACTTGCTGTTCTGTTTCATCTCAACAATGAGGAGAAATTACATAAACACAGACATACATATGTGGCACTTCCAGTTTGCTTTAGCAATCATAGCTAAAGTATTGAGGAGATTATCTTGATTAGTGATGCTTTGTATATCAAGCATATCCCCATTATTTTGTTTTTTCTTTTTAAATGGCATTTCCTCAACAAAGGCAGTTAACCGATACATGAAAAATTGCATAGTGATGTACATATAATAAATTAGTTTTTTGGTATTAAGACTATTTTCTATTGCTTTTATTCATAGACATTTGTAAATATTTAGGTTTCAAAACTTGTAATTGCAAAATTACAGAAAAATTAAGTGTATTTTTTGTTGTTGTAAAAGGTCGTAGGAATCTAAGGTTAATTATGGAATACTTACCATATGGAAGTTTACGAGATTATCTGCAGAAACATAAAGAGCGGCTGGACCACAAGAAGCTTTTGCTGTATGCATCTCAGATATGCAAGGTAGGAAATTTCAGATGACTGATATTTTTCAACAGTTTTTTGTCTCTCTGGTCTCATTTGCCTCAAAAAAAAATCACTGGTGGTTTTCATGTATCTTTTATAATACTGTTAGGCTGCTAGCACCACATAACTCTAAAAAAAGTAGCAACACACACTCATCATGTACTCAAGAACTGGACAAACTTAGGAATATCTTAATACAGGATGCTGGGACTGGCCAGTCTGCTGACTGAGACAGATTATACTCCATTTATTTTTGTTTATTTTATAGTTTACGTAGCTTATATTTCAGTCAGAAGAATTAAAACATCTTCGTACCTAATGAGAGCTGAAGTAAAATATACTCACCCACCCAAACTGTTCGTGACATACTAGAACTGATTTTTCAGAACTTGGACATTAAACTATAAAACCACTGTAACAGCATGTATATGTTTAAGAAATTTATTTTTAAATGTAAATATTAGCTTATTTAGCAGAAAGAAGAAAGATATCTGATTAGAGGCTATAGAAGTGCCCAAAGCTGTAATGAATTATTTGCTAGTCTCAATGTTTGGTAATGGACGTCCTTCATAGGATTCTGAAAAGGGGGGAAAACATCTGATCGTTACTGTGATATCTCATTTCCTCCGAAAGAGAGCTTGTGGTTACACTGGTTTTATTCTGTTATTATGCTTTAGATACAAGAAGCAATACAATCCACTTTAGATTTCATTTCATGTTTGGTGGTTTGGGGAAAGAAGAAAAAAAGAGGAGGGGGGCTGGGGCAGCAAGAAAAGGAAAAGGAAAAAAAGACACACACCCCTACACCCTTGAGGCATGTACCAGAAATATTTTTAAATTCCTTTCCCCAATACTCACATCAAAGACATGGAAACAGTAGGCTACTTAAAATTAATGACTATTCTTCAGAGTATGTAGCCCACACATATTCTTATCACAGAATCAATGTTCAGGGTTGGAAGGGACCTCTGTGGGTCATCTAGTCCAACCCCCCTGCCGAAGCAGGGTCACCTACAGCAGGCTGCACAGCACCTTGTCCAGGCGGGTCTTGAGTATCTCCAGAGAAGGAGACTCCACAACCTCCCTGGGCAGCCTGTTCCAGTGCTCCGTCACCCTCAGAGGGAAGAAGTTCTTCCTCATGTTCAGATGGACCTTCCTGTGCCTCAGTTTGTGCCCGTTGCCCCTTGTCCTGTCTCCAGTCCCTTCATCATCCTTGTAGCCCTATGCTGGACTCTCTCCAATAGCTCCTCATCTTTCTTGAAGTCGGGAGCCCAGAACTGGACACAGTTCTCCAGACGGGGCATCACTAGGGCAGTGTAGAGGGGAAGGAGAACTTCCCTCGACCTACTGGCCACACTCCTCCTAATGCATCCCAGGATCCCACTGGCCTTCCTGGCAGCCAGGGCACACTGCTGGCTCATGGTCAACTTGACATCCACCAGTACTCCCAGGTCCCTCTTCGCAGAGCTGCTCTCCAGCAGGTCCACCCCAAGCCTGTACTGGTGCATGGGGTTGTTCCTCCCCAGGTGCAGGACCCTGCATTTGTCCATGTTGAACCTCATCAGGTTCCTCTCTGCCCAGCTTTCCAGCCTGTCCAGGTCTCGCTGAATGGCAGCAGAGCCTGCTAGTGTATCTACCACTCCTCCCAGTTTTGTGTCATCAGCAAACTTGCTGAGGGTACATTCTAACTCTTCATCCAGGTCATTGATGAAGAAGTTAAACAAGACTTATGTCTGGTAATTGTGCCCTGCCACATTCTGAACAGCAGACTTTTCTGCAGTATCCACAGAAAAGACCTGACAGAAATCAGGCAGGTGACTCTCTGCAATAGCCGAGAACTTCTCCAGGCATTCAGACCTTAACCTGATGAATACAACTTGATAGTTTCCTGCTTGAAACCGGACTGACTCGGTAAACCTTCTAGCTACTGGACCTGGGGTGTGTGCTGAAAGATGCTGCGTGCACCTTCAGCAGCTGATCTTACCTGTTCATGCACTTCACATGAAGCAAGGCTGTGTAATCTCCAGCAAAACTTCTTCGGTGGGCGAGTAATGTGCAGTGAGGTTGGAAAATAGAAAATGTTCAGAAGTCTGTGGCAAGTGTCAGCCTTTTCACAAAGAGGAAAGATAAAACATGTGACCTCTCACTGTGAGGTTTAAAAAACCCACTGATCTGCATCTCCAAAACAAGAAGCCATGCTCCAGTAAGAGAGATAAGAAGAAACTCTCTCCGTGTTATTTCTGCAACAAAATAAATGTTGTTATCGGTGCTGGTAAGTCACTGAAAACAATCTTCCTTAAAGCAAAGAGCTGGAAGAGTCTAACGCTCAGCACCACCTAGGAGGATTGTGACAGTGAATCTTTCATCGAGTAAAGATGCAACAGAGATTTTTGAGCACAAAGGCTGCAGCCATTTACCTGTTATTCCGTGGCCATCTCAGCATACTTACATGAAAGGTTGTAAGGTGCCTTCCCTATTTACTCTTATAAGAAGCTGTGGACTGTGTATCAGTAAGTCTTCAGGCCTTGTGGAAAGCTTTATCCAAAGCCTGAAGGAACAGCAGCAGCAACATATCTTGGGACCCTGGTCTCTGAGATAGACGTATCTGACAGCAGGACTAGAAGGTGGATTTTGGCCTTTACGGGCAGTGCAAGTATGGCAGGAAACTTTGGGAAAGCAGTTGTGTTCAGAAGGTACAAAGAAAAAGGTGCTTAATGTGTGTGTACATACATGTATATAAAAGAAACACTGAGATATTACAGGTCTTCAGGATGTGGATGAAAAATCAAAAGAGATGAAATGACTGCTTCCTAAGTACCAAGCAAAGCATGAGGGAGCTAGAATATGCTTTTTGCAGATATTTAAGTGGTAGAACATCCTGCTTTCATGTGACAAAACATGGGTACACGCAGTATCAGAATGTGGGAAGACCACATTGATTCGAAGATCTGGTAAGAAAAACCTAACAGTACCATGCATACTGTTCAGGGAGAAACGAGGACAGCAAAGATTTGTCTCTTTTCTCTCCTCTAGAATCTAAAGCATTAGGGCTAATGAAACCAGGCAGTAGAGGAGGGGAAAAAACTCAAATGGCTTTCTTTTTAGTTCATAGAAAACTACATTTAAAGTGTTTAATTCAACTGAAATTTCAGTTTCCCAGTGCTTTTAGAGCTCTGCTGAGACTAGCGCGCTCTCACTCTCCAGTTTTAGCAGAAAGTAGCTTAAGCATAGCAGTAGTAGGCTAAGAAAATGTAGTAAACACCAATTTCTGTTACAGGTGCTGATTCGAAGATCCGGTCTTGTTGCTGTCTTGATGCCTCCTTATCTCTGTAGCTTGGTGCATTTGCCCTCCCAAGGCCGAGCTGTCTGGAGTAGAATTATTTAGGAGTCTCTTTTATCCCATAATTATCCCAGTTATTTGCTGAGAACCAAGACCACTTTTGTTTCACTTAATTATTTTGTCTAACGACTAAGTGATAGCTTGTGCCCATGTGCTTCCACTACATTCCTTAATGAGAAAACAGGGATTAGTGTAACAGTTACATCATTAGATCACTATGCATGCAGAAATACAAGTTACACTACTAAAGACTACTAAAAACTAGAAAATATTAAGGCTTTTTGTTATAGTTTCACATTTCTTACAATCCCCTCTATCAACATATAGGACTTCCTCTTAAAGAACTATCTTCACTTCTAAGGGAAGCAAAACCTAAGAATTACAGTGTCTGTGTCTTACTTTGCACTGTTGTTGCTGTGCAGCGTGCAAAGCAGAGGCTATACTGATCACTTTAAGATTTCACTCTAATCTGCATCATTACTTCAAAACAACCTAGTTGCAGACATAATGAGTACCTAATAGTACGAAAATGGAATGTGAATGCTTTTCCTTTTTCTTTTAGCTGATCACATTTCCCCCTTTCCTATAGCTGTTTTTGCTTATCTTGCAATGTTTGCTCTTTCAGCATCTCACATCTCTCTGTTTTGCGTTTCTGTCACTGTTGTTTTGGGTTTTTTTAATCAAAAATCTTTCTCCCTCTGCTTTGCTGCTCTTCTCTCAAATGTGTGAGAGAGAAGTGAAGGCACGCCCATAACTGGGGGTTAAGATGAGTGTGTTTGCATGCTTGCTGTGTTTTGGTTCCTTGCTGCTATAATGGGAAAGCGTTCCTGACTTAAAGGATGATTTTTCTGTGCATATCTCGTCTGTGAAAAGCAGCATTTTCAGCGATGGCATTTGCGAGTGATGATGTTTCTGTAGATGCAAGTATCTCAGCCTGGAAAATGCCTGTTCTAACAGAAAAATTACTGGCACCAGAGAGACTTCGGGACTGTTTTCGTTACAGTATGTAGTGGTAATAAAAAGTTATAGCGTAGGTTGTGTCAGAAACCTGGGAGTCTCCCTTGGAAGACGCCCGGTTTGGTGTTTCTGAGGGTGGCCGTGGGCACAGGGTGTGCTTGGGGCGACGTGGGGGTGGTGCTGGGAGCTGGAGGGCGGCTGGGCTCCAGAGTTGCTGTGCTGCTGGGGGTGCTTGCCTGGACAAACAGAGAACGGGAGGAAGAGGTCTTCTGGCATTGATCGTGTGACACTAATGGTCACAAGCTTTGAGTCGGCGATGCTCCCGGCGTAGTT